TGATTTTAATGATAGTTTGATTAAATTTTTTATTCAAATATTTCTCCTCAATCTTCATCTCATCCTCTTCTCACTTGTGCTACATATTGTTAGAGGATGATCTACATATCATCTCTCCAAATATATGACACATAGATTTCTATTGTCCGATCTAAAAGGTGCGACTTCTACATAAGTCCACTTACGATTGCTTAACATAGCGCTAATTTTGTCCTGGTTCGAGAAATGATCATTCGTGGCCCAAACCTATGTTTGCAAGCCCAGGTATATTTAACTTGAAACCTTTGATCCAATAACCTTGAGGTTCATTGTTAGGAGGCTTTGGTCTTATCGATCCTTAATGGACTTTCATAAAATTTGATCTAAGTAGATCATTTAAACATCGTTGATTATTTGTTGTTGCCTTGAGAATTGAAATGAATGATATACTTGACAAAAATCAAATGAAACTTGTTGTTGAGAGACTTTTATTTTATCAATCTTCTATTGAGTTTTCAAATGCAAGTTTAAAGATGGTCATTCAACTAACCTCTAATTTCTAACTCATTAACAATTGACTTTTATTTTTATGCGTTTACTTTATGATTTTACTTTAAGCACCATTTATCTTAGCATTTACATTTCATGCTATTTTCATCTTTGCTCACTTGAGCATTTATCTTTATGTTATTTTTATTTTGCTCACTTGAGCTTTCATTTTCTTTTTGAAGATACCTAATAACCAACTTGAACAATAAAAAGCTTTAATGTTATTTGAACTATTTGGTTACTATCCTTCGCATTTTGGAGTTATGGACTTCTGAGACTTAGGATTAGAGACCTTGACCTACCTTGAGATCTTGTGACTTCTATTTCTATTTTGTCTGGAGTTCTTGGGTTTTACCCCGAGACATTGGGTTGTTTGTTTTCTTTGTATGCAGGTTATTCTGATTATGTACTTTGTCTGTAATCGGGAATTCATCTGTATACAGCCGTTACTCTGCCCAATTTTTGAGAAGATATAATGCATTTGAAGTTTGGTATTTTTAAGAGGTCTAATATCTTTGCTTGTTTGGTTTCAATCCAAAGGATGGGAATTCTACATTGACTCATTGTGTCAAGTGTTGGCTTCTTGTTGGTTAGACGGTTCTTTTCCCTAGCTTTTATCTTATGCTTTAGGATAGTCCCTTCATCTCCTCTCATCTTCCTTAATTTCAAAAAATCTTCTCCCTCCTTTTGCAAACTCTTCTTGTTTTTGAACTTGAACCGCTTTCACAATAAACTTAAACTTAGGTCCATGCATTTTCAAAAATATTTTCTTAATCAAATTAATCATACTTTGACATTTTTGTGAGAAAACTAAAAGTCAATCAATCTCATTCAAACCATTTTGCCACTTTGGCTTTTTTTTGCCTTAAAATTTTCTCAAAAGATTAGACTCTTGTCGATCCTTGTAGTGATGTGAGCTACTATACTTCTATGATATAAAGTGAAGTGAGATATTTTCCACTTGGGTGTTGAGCGAGGCTTTGTTGATTTTAAAATCCAAGCCATATCCTCCACTTTGAGACGACGCAAATTCTCCTTTCTCATAATCGTGGGTAGTAAGTATGTTCTTCCACTCGGATAAGACGATAATGTATTATCTCTTAAAATTAACCAACACACTCGTGTTTAAATTTTTTTAAAGGTGAACTACGAGTACCCTGATCCCCTATTGCATGGAAGGTGGTACATGGGCACTAAAGGTTCGTAAACGCGACGGGTGCAAAAATTGTAAAAATCTATTTCTTTTCTCATCCCCATAATTTATTTTTGTATACAACACTTATAGCCAAAATACACAAATTTTCAAAGAGGTTCCTACGGAGTACCGTAGATGTTTAGGGTGCTAATACATTCCCTTTACATAACCAACCCCTGAACTTAGATTATCTCCCCATTTTTTGGGCTATTCTCTCTTTTCCCATTTCTCTAGAAATAATAAAGTGCGGTGGTGATTTTTATTTGATATGTGTGAGTCAATTCAATCCAATGGCTTGGTCTCAACATTTCTACCTCTACAAGAACATTGTATTAACTGTGTATTTTTCTTTTTGTGAAATTTCTTTGTGGTAATGTAATGGTACAATTGGATGTAACTTGAATCGTGTAATGAATGACCTTGTAATGGGATTTTGATATGGCTTCTTTTTCCCAAATAAATTTGAAATGTTATTTTCCCTCTATTATGCTTCAATTTGAATATCCAAACAACTAATTTCACCTTTGTAACCTTGAATCAATATCATGAGATAAGATGCAAACCAATCAAGAAAGCTTAAGTATGACTTTGGTCAAAAAGTCAATTTTTTAAGGTAACACCCCCTATACATTCTAATTGGTACACCCCCTAAAATTTTGTGAAATATGTTAGTGTAACACCCCCTATAATATATATAAATCTAGAATAATATCATACACAGTATTAATTGGTACTGGTATAATATAAGTGCATAACGGCATCATTTATTTATAAATGTCCAAACTATATATTATACCATATGGCACATGATATACAAAAATGTCTAATAAAAATGCTAAGATATACACAAGGGAAACTATCTTGAAACATTGAATTCTTCGAAACTTATCATAACTTCACCTTCGCCGTTATCTTACCTTGAGATACCTAAAAAATTCAACAATATGATGAGGTGAGATAATAGTCTCAGTGGATTCTCCTATCTTATGGGTCCACTCGGCTCTAAAGAGATTATTATACAATACTCTAACTCAAATCATTCAAATTTATCCTATGTGTATACATTGACATAATAGAATAAAAGGTTAAGTATATGTGGGATTTTACTTCGTATGGAAACATATGCACTCAAGTCCACGTGACCCAATAAATCATACTCGAGAATGCAAACACATAGTATTTTTCCCCAACCGATCTTACGTTTGAGACTATGGACACAGGTCACGAATCTCTGCCGCATCGGACAACTTTCCCTTTCCTATCCTACGTTTAAGAAAGTGGTACACAGGTCATGGAGGTCCACTCTATGAGAAAGATCTCTCCCAAAAAAACACCTCTCTTATAGGTCAAGACACGAGTCACAGACTTCCTACACTAATCTGAGTACTTTTCCCATCAAGCACCACTTACATGGATCAAGACACGGGTCACGATATATATCTTAATTAATTTCGTCTTTCTCGGTTACTACTCTATATAAGTCTCGAACTTAGGACAAGCACGGATAAGGGTTATTCTCGAATACATGATTATACTCAACAATCACTATGTGATTATACTCATCAATCACATCTCATAACATTTTCCATACAAAGTCCATTAACTCGTAATTTGACTATCATTCACGAACCATGTCATTTGGGCATTCTCGTAGATAAAATGATCCGTCTCAAGTGACTACTCGTTCATGGGTACACACCAAGGTACTTTTCATGATCGAGCATCACAACCTAAATTATTCTTCATAACTTAAGTCTATATTTTCTAATCATTTTAATCTAACAAAGATCATAGGTTATAGCATTATCATATAATTCTATCCATTATTGTTCATTTCAATTCATTACGTTTCTATTACCTATGGAATATGGAACACATAAGTAAAGGAAGGTACTATCCATTCATAAAGAGAAAAACATGAAAATAAGTATCATCAATATCATCAAGCATCATCATGATATAGATCTTTAAACAAGTTTTCCAATACATCTGACCTCGTCTCATTTCAACTTACGAAACAGTCTTTTTCATACTTTGAAGAGTTGTCAAGCTCGAGTATCGTTTACCCTCGATTGACGAGGAGGAACGATATGGTTCAACAAGCTTGAACTGACAGCGAATAAAGATTTATAGTTATGTAAAATATATTTTAATGTTACTCATCAAATAGTGTAATTGAAATGGATACAACAATTGTAAGATCAACAAAAGATAATTTAAAAATATTACAATATTCTAAATCATCCGTTTGTAATAAAATGTAATGTTAGAATTATTACATAGATGCATCTTTAAACTCACCCTAAAGTGGATAGAGAAATGTATCTCCAAACTAAATTATTGATAAAATAAAAATTGCTCAGATAGTGGTATAAAAGTCATCGTCCACTAAAATGCTAGTGCAATTATAATCAACTTCATGAAATTTTAGTTTTTTGCCGAGAAAATGTCAAACAAATTTAAAATTTTCAAGTAATATGCAAATGATTTTGCTTTTTTAAACAATTATTAAATAACACAATTCAATATTTACAAAGATTTAATTAACTAAATAACTATTGCAAGAGTTTCTTATAGAATAAGTTAATCCAATTTGGATCCTTATCTCTTTTAACAAATTAGTCAACTAATTGTGACATTAACAAAACGAGAATTTACTACCTTTAAGCTATATTTTGTTTATTTTTTAGTGAAAGAAATATGATAAAGATTGAGTGTTAAGCTGAAACTTTAAGAGCACAACCAAACAAGAATCAAGTTGATTTCTTTCCCCACAATATTCTATAAAGAATGAAGATTAACTTTTACAACCTGCAGTAAAAAATAAACCACCCTTGGAAACCTTTGTATAACCTGAATTTGATGCCTTCATCAATATTCTTGACCCAAAAATTATGACACATGATTTAAAAAACAAAACTTTTTATACCATCCCTCATCAAAAAATACCCATAAAGCAAATGGCGACCCTAATACCAACCCGTCTATGTGACAGGCAATAAATATTACAGAACCGTATCATCGAAACAGAATAGGCCACTACTTTCTTCCAAAGGATATCCCAAGCTTGGAATCAAAAGCTGGAGAAAGTGCCAATATATAACTTAAGTGCATAAAGCTCCGATAACTTCAAAACTGCAAACTCTTCAAAAACTGACTCGTGATCAAAGCCAACAAACGCCTCAAATAAAATGGCAACCCGCTGAGACTACTAAAGAATGGCTAATAGCTCAGAACTTGAGAAAAACAGCAACAGTATTAATGTATACCCAGAAGCTTAAGAAGCTGTGGCAGCTGCTGATGCCTTCTCTAGTTTTTCCTTTTCAATTTCTACCCTTCTCTGCTCGGCATGCTGGGCAACACCATTAGCAAGAGCTTGATAATTGAACTCAAGCGACTGGGTGAGAGTCTCAAACCGCAATGGGTCTGATGATTGTATAACTACAAACAGTTATTTTGAAAAGGTCAGCATGTCAAACAACATTGATTGGCAATGATGAACCTAAAGAATGGTTTGCATGCGTACCTTTCATCGTATCCACAAAGAAAATAAAAGGATCCACTTCATCAATTGGGGACTGCAACTCCTCATCATCACTGTAATCTTCATCTGAATCATCATCATCGTCATCAGCAGGACGGAATGACTTTGCCTGTGAGTAAACAGATGCAGGATATGAGAAGATTCTAAAAATGAACAATAAATGATTACAAAGACCTAATATATAATAAATAATGAATGAAGAATGAATAAGATGCAATGAAGTACAGACAACAATTAAAGAAAGATCTAAAAAAGTTCTGAAATTATAATTATTCTGGGTGTCACAGTGGACTTTTAGGGAACTAAACTGACGAGATAATAATTAAAAGGCCCAATAGCAACGCACCTGTTCAGCCAACTTTCTAAGTGTGATATTATCAGCTTCATCCGGATCTTCACCATCAACACCCATTTCCTTATCAAAACCATTGCCATCTTCATCTTCGTCATCAGTTTGAAAGCCATCCATATCATCATCATCTTCAGCTTCTTCCTCCTTTGCAGCTTCTGCATAGTGAGTTCAACAGACCGAAAACTAAGTACTCATCAACAAAAACAAATCTACTTTTCATAACTATTGTAACATCTCAAAGTTACATAAACAAGACAAATACCTGCAACTTGATCCTTGTAAGCAATTAGAAGATCAAGTGTGGCCCGAAATACTCGGCCCAAAGCCTCCCCAGGCAATTGATCAGCCGGAAGTGCCAGCAATGAAATTAAACCAAGGCAGCACACTTTCTTCTCATGTTCCCTGCATAAAGATAGTGATAGTTTACCACCATAAGGCCTTTAAATTTCACACACAATAACTTAAATAGTTTTGACTTATGGAAGCAGTATGCAAATACCAAGAGACACAGGAGCGGTGAATGGGTAAAAAAGAGCATACCTTTTGAAATTAGCGCGCAAACCACTCTTTTTGACTTGTCCCAACAAATGAAACCAAAGATGGAAGAATTCAGAGGCGACACCCAACTTTTGCAATATGCTGAGAGTCAGTGCTGCATTGTAGTAAAGAGCATCTGCAATCTGAAAAAATAGCTACTCTTAGAAAAAGTTAAGTTGTGATGTCACTTGCCTGTGACTAATATCTTTGAGAACCTTGGCAAACTAACAACCTCGAATTTATAGCAGCCAAGGAAGTGCAATCCATATGAAGCTATAATGGACAACATTAGGTGTTTCGTGCTTATATCAGAACCACAGCAATAAAAGCAGGACACAATGATTTTCCTCTAACAGTGAAAATGAGCAGAAACATCCAAGTATTTATCATGTCTAAACATCACAATCAGGAAGCAACAAAAGCAATTTTCCGATAATTGCATTCATGTAATTATTGATTGTAGAGCCCCTTACCAGTTGCATGAAAAGACATTTCAAATATGACTTTTCAGTCCGGTTCAAGCGTTCAATTGTGATTCTGAGATATGGCTCCACCCAGTGATCCACCCGTCCTCTACAATTCTGGAAGACAACTTCAATAAGCTTTGGAGCTGGCACAATATCGTTATCCTCCATATTTTTATCCGCCATAATCTGCAACATGATATATAAGTAAATATCAGTAACCGGAAAAAAACTTACTATCATTACTATTATCAATATAAACTCCATGTCCAACCAAACAGGTGGTGACAAGTAACAGTGTAAATCTAACTCACAGATGAAACCATGTTCCATAGACTTTGTTGATAATCAGGATCTTTGCAAGTAAGGAAATGAGCAGTTCCTCTTGAAATATAGTTGTCCAACGGAACTAAAATATCTGCAGAAGTTAAAAACTTAACAAATAAATATATACCAAAGTGAAATTGTATAGGATGGAAACTCTAAGTTAACATAAATATAAATTAAAATGCTGAGATGCTATGTATGGACTCTTTATATTTGTGATGCACTTCTTTTACAAGTCTTTCTCCATACATGCCCAAGCCATCAAATAACCCCCAAGTGTCTCCTCCATTCGGTGAAAACAGACAGAAATTAAGCGATTAACTATTTATTTTTCTCACTTCTCTGTCCCATACTGTAGAGAAGTGACACTTTAGTTTATTTTTCATTAGAGAAGTGACAAAATTGTAGAAGTAACCAGGCTAGGCATACTTCAGTTAATTGATTAGAAGCCATTGAACAGAAAATATACCATATACCATTCCATGTTACTTTTTAGCTTGTAACTTTTTTTAATGATGTTTTGAAGATGTTTAAAGTTGTGATCGTCTTCAGGCTAAATCTGAGACACCAACTCTTCTCTACTTCAATTCAATATTAATAATAATACGCAGCTAAGAAACATACTTGGAAAGAAATCAATTGCCCAATCTGCCAGCGCTTCCATCATCACTGGCCAAAGAGTCCACATCTCCAGAGATATTGATGGAGAGAAAAATGTCATATATGATACAATCTCCAAAACTTCTTCGAAAACCTCTGTAAGCATGCACAAAAATAATACAAATTAGCCAGATAATCCAAGTGAACAAAATTTAAAAATCATAACGATACAAGAATCATAGTAACACATGCATCCAACTTCAAATTTGTGAGTTGACAATTTAGTCCCAATATAGTTCCTTCAAAAAATTTAGCTCAAAAATTTAAAATGTTCAAATTTTGTCACGGTGCAACAAAAAAAGTCAAATAATGTACCACAAAGTACAAAACGTTTTATGGGTTAAGGAGGATTCCTGCTCATGTTCTTTTTCAATTGTTATCTTTGTTAAATAAGATTTCTTTAGACGGAGAAAAAACCATACAAGGAAAATGGGGGATATGAATCCTGGATAACAAATAGCAAGGGGAGTACCTTGACCATCTGTTGTTAACATTTTTTGCATTATAGGAAGCAAAGTTGGCTCAACTTGCACAAAAAGGTGAGGAAGCCTGCTAACTGATTCAAGGATTGTGCTAATAGCACGTAAACAACCAACTGCGGCCAGAGCACCTGGATCATCAGCTTCATCATCAGCTTCTGCAGAGTTCATACACCTCCAAAATGCAGCAGCCTGTAGTTAGAAAATGGAGAACAGAAAGTTATTCTACAGAACAGTACTCAATATCAAGTACACCTTTCTTGATAATTAGAAAGGAACAAAAATACTACCAAATTTTGACATAGTCCTAGTGCATAAGGCGCCATCTCTTCTCCAAACTTGTCCACAATAGTCTCCAAAGTAAATACCAGGTCTTCATTCTCAACCTCATTCATAAGTTTGAAAAACTCTAGATAAAATCGAATTAGATTAAATTTAGTTAGCAAGTCCAAAATAATAATACTGAGGCGAAGACGAAACTTTCATGCCCACGTACCATCAAGAAGTTGAGGAAGAATAGGACGGATTTCATTCAGATCTGCATCATTTGAGGAATACAAAATTAAGTATAAATATTAACTGCATAGAAAAAAGGTACTTGATACAATAACAAATCAAAACGAGTAAAAATTACCTTTGCATGCTTCGATGAAAGAGCGCAAGGCAAAAACAGAATCAACGCGCACAGGAAGTTCAGAATCTTGCATTCTGGATACAACACACTGCAATGCCTTCCGGAAATTGTTCTGATCTGAGAAGGTAATATGGGCATACTGACCTGCAACCCATGCTGCCTATATATAAGAATAAAGAAAACACAATACAATTAGGCTGTTAGTATCTTTACGATTTAAGAATTGATTAAGAATTCGAAAGTGCATGGACATTGCTGAGCAATAGAAAACTCAGGAGCTTATAATTGAGGATGTTTGATCAGATATGCAAATCAAATTTGCGGTGCAAATTCAGGTTGTCATGAACTTTTCCTGTTTTGGCATTTTAAAAACATTATTTAGGATTGCTTTTTTATATACCTTAGCTCTAAGGTGGCCAACAGGACTGTTGAACTCGGGAAAGACATGTTGCACTAGCATGCGCTCAAGTTCAGATTTGTAAGGCTCGGTCTGCTTCAATTTGTCACAAAGTGCCCCAATAGCAAGAAGTGCACCATCTTTCTGTCTATATGGCTTGAATTCTATGGCGGCTTCATCATACCTGGCATAGCACAAACCTAAATACTCGAGAAAAGTATACAACTCATTCTACATTAAGCAAGATATTACCTTCGGAAAATTTCAACAATGAATTGTATAAACTTGTGAAGATTTTCTTTTCCACGTTTCCGAACCAACTCGCTCACGAAATCCATGGAAGCAGTCCTAGGACTATACAAATCTTCAATTATGTCTGTGACAAAGAGTGTACGCCAATAAGCAATCACAATGCAAATTGTGGAAAAATGTCTCCGTGTTTATACACTGATATGACTTACCATAGCCTTTCCTTACATATTCATGTGGATCTTCTTCCCAAAGCTTTTGATCATTGTCACTAAAGCACATAAGGGGGAATACTATTTCAAATAATAGGACATCAAGGCGAGGTTGCAGCAAAGCATACATGCTATTCCTTGAAATACTGCATATATTAAAGAGTTCAGGGGAAAAGTATTAATATATTGCAACTCAGCAGTGGCAAATAAAAAGCATTCAACATAACAACTAGTATTCTAAATTTAAAACACCCTTGCTCTTTAGAATACAATAACTTGTCACAGGGTCTTATTGGAAATTTAGATATCAAATATATATTTCCATGATAAAAACTACAGCCAAAAAGTACTAACATCAAGTATGGGGTTTTCATTTTCCCAGTATCAGTGTAACAGCATAGCATAAATTTGATAAATATCCTATTTTGACATAAACACTAATTAGCATCCATATGCATAGCTGAGCAAATAAAAATCCTGTAAGTCTTACTATCCTAAAAAGATCCTTTAAAATCCTTAAGTCTTACTATCCTAAAAAATTATTAAAAATGTCATGTATCTCCTGTAGGAACCTAAAATTAAGAATGCTAAGACTTGCCATTACAACTAAGCATTTATAAACCACCCTAGTGAGGTCAACACAGTCAATTAGCTACTTAAATATGTATAGTCCTACAACAATTAGAACAGAAAATGTAGTTAAAGAAAGGAGCCTAGAGATGCAATTTAATGAAATAGAACGACAATGATAATTAATCAGTCTACCTGTTACTGAGATATTGAAGAATCAAGTTGATAACTCTGTCAGGTAGATAGCCCCCTACTCGAATGACATTTAACAAGTTCAAGTGGCATTCCAAAATCTTCCCTGCATAGTGCTTCTGGAACATTTGAGCAAAAGCTCTGGTTTCAGGATTTTGTAGCTTCAGGTCTCCAAAACTGTAAAACACGGTAATTTAAACAGACATAGAATTCAGAATCAATCAATCATACAACAGAAACACTCATTAAATTAATACACCACATCACAACCATACCGAGTGTAGAGCCTATTTAGAATATGAACTGTCCATTTCTTGACCTTCCACCAACCCCATGACTTTCTAAGATCGGGATCAACAGGCTCACCTTCAGAAGGCACAGGTCTCTCCAATACATTCAGAAAAAGTATCATCCAAGCATTGAAGATATTTTGATCAAACAGCAGTTTTGGAATCTCCAACTGAATAAATTCACCAAGAAACCCACAATAGCACATGTTAATCATGTGAACTTCCAGTGAAGTAAAGCATCAAACTAATGAGGCAACCGACAATGGCACAATACTATGTTGACTGCAAAATAATATCTGAATAAACAACACGTCAATCAAGACAAGGATATGCATAGGCTATATATATATAAACTATGACTTTCTTGTGTATCTCTAACAAAATATTTTATGTTAAACATGGAAGGGAACATTCACTGCTATACAAATTACGCTCTGAAGAACATGTTCCCGAAGATATAAACATCCACGATAACCCTATTTGAAAATTTAGCCTTAAATGTGGTGGTCAGCTCTTATCCACCTTAATTATGGCATTTGAGTTGCCTTCATTGCAGCGTCGAGCACCTTCATTGAGTTGAGTGTGAGTGGGTGGGTTAGGCCTCACATTGCCTGGAGATATGGCCTATGTAATGCTTATAAAGTTTGGGAAGTCCTCACCTTAGAAGTCATTCGGTACGGATGAGTTACCAATTCACCCGAGTCACGTCACACTCAAGATGTCCTGTCTTGGGCATAAGGATAGTGTGCTGGGAGGGGGTGTGATATTACTTAAAATTTGTTTATGAATTAGGGGCAACTCTCATCTTACAAGTCGATTTTGTGAGGTTGAGCTAATCCCACCCAAATTCAAAGACCCTCTATTCTATGTTCATTAAGGATTTAATAGGGGGGGAAAAGGAGCATCAACTCAACTTCAGTACAAAAGAAACACACATTGCAAAGTAAATAATAAAAACCACAAATTCTACGCAATGGCTGTCAATAAAAGCAACATACAATTTTGACCGAAGTTTAATCTACAATAAAACCCTGAAAATAAACTCCTTCTTTAAGAAATACATGTGAGGAGAGACAACATACATATATGGAGGACCAGAATATTTTACAGATAAGCTTGATTAAATCTGCTATTTCCAGTGATGGATTAACAATCTGGATAAGCCTGTTAAATATATTAAGAAGGTGAGGAAATGTTTCATCGACAATGCGATAAACTGGTGTCCTCTCCTCATCTGACTTGAACCTGCAAAGATAAAATGTGATAGTTAACATAACTAACATACAAATGAGAAAAATAATAATTTTGGACTATTAATAAGAATCACCGGACATTTCAACAATCAAGTATGTACAAACTCTAGCCAAACAAGACATCAAAAGATGCGGGAATAGAAACCTTCTACCATTTTGAATCTCATTGCTGAGGATAACAATACAATCAATTTCAAGAGGAGTAAAAGATCTACGGGATATTTCAATATAATCAATGACAGGGAGGTCTAGAATGAAGTTTGGACCTTCCTTATGTCACCTCTTCTAGATTGGGAACATCATAAATGGTCTTATCATAATCTTTAATTTTTCGCTCAAAATACACTTGAGTTTATCATTCAGCACATTTTCACAGTTTAATTATTTGTTCATTGCACTTCTTTTTCTACTGGAAAAGCAGGAAGGCATACATATATAACAAAGTATACTTCAGTGACTTAAATAGTACAGCCATATCCATGGACATTGTAATTATATTTGAACACAAACAAAAAAACAACTGCAAGGTTTTATGTGGTTCAGAAAGGATAAGACTGACAATCACATTATTAAACAATACTAACATCTAGTAGAAGATGTAACCAAAAGGAGAAAAGGTAAATCATAGCCCCTGTGAACCTAATGTAGAGTAATTACTAACCACGAGACATGCATGAACAAGAGCAGTCACACAATTCTTTCAATTAAACAAAATAGATAGAAACTTACTCATATTTTCTAGACAGAATCCGTAGCACAAATAAGGCACCATAGACTTGTTGATCCTGTAGGTTATGCTTCACCCAATCAAGAAGAAGAGGCCACTGTTCGGGGTAATCAGCGTGTATAATTGTTTTCAGGCATTCACCAAGTTGTACCCTACAAACACAACAACATGTGAGAAAGTAGAAATAAATCTGTCACAATGTTTAGACTATCATGATTAATCACTAGGCAAACAGAGTCGTAAAATCAAGACGTCAGAGAATCCAGGATAAACAATGTTTAGACTATCATAGAGCCACAGATAAACAATCTTACCTCAACAAAGGAGGAACTTGAGTTACAAACATGAGAATGTGATCCCTCACCAAGTCTTTATCACTCTGCAATATCTTTTGTTGGGTAGTATCTACATAAACCAATAGGAAAGCAAAACAATCAGCAATCGAAGGTATTCATTATTTCATCATCCAAACTCCATCAACAATAAAAGACATACCAGAATCAGGAGACCAGTTCTTCGCAATAAAATTCTTGAAATGAATACTAGCATTTTGCCGTACACCCATGTCACAGTTGTTGTCTACAATGATTTGCAACAACCTCACCAAATGCTGAGGTGCATACTGGAACTGTACATTTATAAATGCACATTACAATACAAATCAGTTACATTCATTCTATTAAATTAAATTAAATTGCAAATACATTCAATCAACACTAAAGTACCAAAGTCCACTTTATACTGAGACAAAATATACACCCATCTAACAGACACTAAAAAACTTATCACGAAAAAATGTGTATGTCCAAAACCGATTCCGACACTTGTGATTACGTTTAATTAATTAATTCATTTTTTCAAAGTCCACTTGTGATTATGTCTAAAAACTAATATTAACTTTTTAAAGTCTCCAAGCTTCAATCACACACCAATGTTAAAGTGATACTACTAAACACTCAATAAAACAAAATTCAAAATTCAAATCAATCAAATTAAAGCACTAACACATTCAATTAGAAGTTAGAACTCATAATACACCAAAATTCACAAACAAACTAAAATCAACACATTCAACAACTACTCGTGCTTCAAAACACTTCTCCGAAAACGAATCCAACTCAACACAAAGCTAATCAAAACAATCAAATTAAAGCACCAACACATTCAATTATAACTCACAATACACCAAAATTCACAAACAAACTAAAATCAACACGTTTAAAAATCGCTCGAGCTTCAAAACACCTTGAAACACTTATCCGAAACTGAATCCAACTCAACACAAAGCTATATCAATCAAAATCCCAATCATCAATCGAATTTACACTCTCACCTGATTCAAGTTCTGTTCAGCAGCTTTCCGTTCATCCGGATTAGGACTGAGAGCAGCTTGGAGTATAACAGCGAGACTAGGAAGATCCATAGCAGCAAAATCAGAAAAACTCGATCAAAATCAGAAAGCTTCGATCAAAACGGAAAACGAGAATTGATGATTGCGGTGATGAATCTAAACCCTGGGAAGAAATTCTTCTAGGGTTTAGAACACCTACGAGAGCAGAGATGAATCGAACAGAGAAATTGTTGTGATGAATTTGAGAAGAGGAATGTGAAGAAAGAGAAAGAGAACGAAGTGGAAATAGTTTGGAGGCTATTTAAACTTCTAGGGTTTACGCTTACAGGTTTTTAACCATCTTTCTACTACTGTGAGTACTTATTTTTTATTTTTTTTTTATTTTCATTTTCACTAGGAGATAAAAATTAGTACATGAGATAAAAATATCAAAATTATCTGATAGTTTATTTAAAATATTATCTAAAAAAATAAATTATAAACTAATAAAATAAGTTATAAATTTATAAGATATAAATTTATGATGAAAACACTCTTATCAAATTGATATGAAATTTATAAATTTTAAATTTTAAATTTTAAATTCAAAAATATGTCTTATCATTTACAACCTTAATCAAATAATAAATATTTTATTATATTAAATTATGAAATTGATTATCATAAACAAATCCGGTTAAGATTATATAATTATTTAAATTTTAATAGTTAGGATTATATAATTATTTAAATTTTAATAGTTATTAATTATCGACAATCGAAATCTTTCTCTTTTAAATGTATTTAGTCAATTATTAAAGATTTGATTTTTTATAGATATTTTTAAGATTGTGTTTAGAAATTGATTATGATAATTAAAATGTGGGATTTGATTTTAATTAGACAATTGAGATCGACTGATTATGTTAAGTTTAGCATTTTTACATGGAGACAATGTAAATTCCTCTATTATGATGTGTGTTATGCATGTTTGAGTAAAGGGTAGGTTATTTTGTGTGTTTTATGGGAATGAGATTTGGTTAGGTGGTACATTTGGTAGAATATACTAGTATCTTTTAACTTAATTTTAAATCTGTAACAATTTTTTGAAAAAATAGGGTAAAGGAAAGGATCAATTATCAATTATTATTAATAATAGGATTATTAATGGTTGTTTAAGAATTGTCTTAAATAGAATTAATTATATCACTTTATACTTTAGTCATATTAATTGGTTGAAAAATATTATTTATCTTAAACTTATTTAAATGAGATCGTAAGAGATTTTTTTTAATTTAATCAAAAAATTTAGGTTTGAATCTAGTTCTAAGCATTTTAATTTTTTTTAAAATTTTATCATTCATTATGTTCATCTCTAACTTAAAAAATCAACTATCAAATTAATATTGTATCTTGACATCTCCCAAATTGATATTGAATATTCATTTTCACGGTTGTTTGCACAGTTTTCACTGATTCTGTTTTGAAATTGTGTAGTGAATCTGTTTAGAGAGTTTTCACCGATTTTGTTTTGAAATTGTTTATTGAATCATTTTTGTGGTTGTTTGAAGAGTTTTCACTGATATCTAATATTGAATGTTCATTTTCATAGCCATTTCTGTTTAATACCCATTTTATTTATTTCGTCAGATCTGAGATTTGATTGGGATATTCATGTTGTTCAGGAGGTGAAGTTGTTGGCTAAGAAAGAGGATTGATTTACTCTGAATTTTGTCATTAATAAACTCAACCATGTGTAAAGTGACACCAAATTTGATGTTGAATCTCTCTTCAAGATTGCAAGAAACATTCTTACGAGTTCAACCAATTGTATGCATATAATTATCTGACTCGTGAGTTTAACCGTCTTTGATTTTCGTTTCACAAATTTCGTTTTGTTTTTATTTTCATCACCGCAGTGATGATCACTTCTTTGTCTGCAGAATTTGTTTGATAATAATAATCACTTTGGATTGCAGGAAATCAGTAAAAAAAGACTTATCCACCTCGATTCTGGAATGCAACAAATCTCCTAGCTGACTTGTCGTCGATGAGATTGTCAACGGCGACAACTCCGTTGTCCCTATGCACCCACAAACTATGGAAAAGTAATAGTAAGAATGGTTAAGACTTATTTATGATATTTGTAGTTCTGGGATCAAATAGAAGAGTGTGATGGTTTACTCATATAATATGATTTATGTTGGATTGTTGGGACATGCTCATGTTTTAACACAGTTTACTCATAGTTTTACAAATGCCATTAACAGTGGTGATTTTTTCTTTTCAGCTGGAGGGCAGATGTACATGTGGGGCAAACTAAAGAGCATTGGTAATGACTAGATGTACCCAAAGTCTCTAGTAAACTTAAGGTTGTGTTTTATCCCATGGTCTAAATAAAAGTTTTGGAACATAAGTTTCCCCCTCATTTACTTACTCATTTTTATTAAATAGTCTATATTTATTTATGTAAATTGATTAAATAGTTTATATTTATTTTGGTAAATAGTGGTTGGAATATATGAGGAGTCATCGTGGAGTCCTTCTCACATCGGTGACGGTTCCACAACTTCTGCAAGACAGTCCGATGGCACTACATCGACTTTAGAGAGAACCGATTCTATAACCAGACTAGCTTCAGTACACAAATCATTATAATCTGAAAGAAGAAGCCTCCTTAGAATACTTATGCAATTTAATACCTCACAGGTAATTCCATTTTCCTTTATTTCAAAATTTTTATCGTGATTCGCAATAATTCTTATAATCTTAAAATTTTGATTTCCAAGGGGTTACATTCCGTTGATGATATAGTTCCTTCTTATAGTTTATGTTGTTAGATTTGAGGCTCTTTACGCTAAGACGATGTCGAATCCCTTGCTGGTGAGACATTTCTTGAGAAATATGTAAATCATAATGATCTTGTCAATGTTATTGATGAAAAGTATAATTACAGAGTGAGAGCTCCCATAATACATCCTATCTATGAGAATTTCTAATTCAAGGTTAAGACTTCATTTGATAAATTTGATTACAAGTAATTGATTATTCGCTCTGTTTTAAAGAGATAAAATAGAGTTTTAAATTTTAAGTTTTTACTAACTTTGTATTTGAAAACTTAAGTTTTCTTGAAAATCCTGGGATACTAGACTTGATGTAAATTTTACTAACCCTTCTTAATTTTTTAACTATTTTCACGGATCACTATAACCACAATATATTTTTTACTTTAATCAACAAAATATTTGTACATATTTGTAGTTATGTGATATTTGTAAATATTCATAGTTATTAGTCATATTTGTAAATATTTATAGTTATTAGTCATGTTTATAAATATTTATAGTTATTAGACATATTAAACTTATCATGTTAGTGAATTGATAAATATTTTTTTAAAATATTTTAATTATTAGTGATTTTATAATAACAGTTATATATCACTAACAAATTCAACTTTATCAAATGACTTAAGATATGAATGATTATTGCATTTTCATATTTTTTTTTACATTGCTATTATATATAGATTCATTTCATCTATCTATATTATGTTTTGTAAATATTAAATTAATAATTTCCATTTTAATTTTTAAACTTTTTTTTTTAGAATACATTATTCATCTTAAGATTTGACTTACACATAAGACGCATGTATTTTTTTACTAATTAATCTCTACAAATTACATACATTAATATATTTTTTTTATAGGAAAAACCTATTATTAAGTCTTGTTAAGTAGAAGAACATAGTTTATTGTACACATTTTTGTAATTTTGAAAAGTGAAATGGTAATTTCAAGAAGTTTGGCTGGTTTTTTCTTGTTTGGAGGGACATTGGGATGGTTTGTTTTTCATGCTTTTGTACACTCACGGAGGAAGATGCTCCCTTCATAGGTTGGCTGCCTACTTCACCTAACACTGCATAATGCTGCTTGTATTTTTTTGTTTTTGTCATTTGCTACGTGTTTTTGTGTTTTTATACAATATATATATAACTCATTTATAAATGATAATTTTTTAATCAATTAATTTTAGTCTATAAATCGATTAATTTGATTTTGTAATTAGAAAAAATAATTTATTAATTAAGTCTTATTTTCACCAAAAATTAAATTTGAGTAATACTCGAATAATTCATTTTTAGTAAAAAAAGAATTCCACTAAAATTAAAATAATTGATTGGTTAAAATATAATTCTATAGCAACTAATTTACTATTCATGCAAATCTCTTAAATATGATAGTTTTAAGTTTTTTACTAACTATCAATTTGTTTATAATGATTAATTATTCTTTGGTCCTGAAAAGGTTCTCTTTAAAATACTTTTCTTTTTTACAAAATTTACTATTTGTATAGGTGTCGTGGGCATAAAAAAGCACGTGTTAACATGATTAGTGTATTTATTTATTGTTTTGTATTATTATTTTTATTTATATTTATACCATTATTATGAAACTAAACTATACGGTGGGTCATAACTATCGTAGAAAACAAGTAAATAAAGAAGAATTTTTTTGGGCAAGTGACACACACACATATATATATATATATATATATATATATATATATATATATATATATATATATATATATATATATATATATATATATATATATATATATATATATATATATATATATATATATATATATATATATGGAGTACCTTCTATTCTTCATAAAGAACGAGAGATGAGAAATAAAATACTCTGGATCTAATGTTTAGTTATTTAGTGGTTCATTGTCTTTTTTTGGTTATAAAGTTAATGTTGTAACTTTGATGGTTCAAAACCTTTTCGAAAAAATAATAGATTACCTTTAAATCACCTTTGCTGATTGAACTACTATTTGTGTCATTAAAGTCAAATTAGCCTTCTCATGATTAGGTAAATAATGTTATAATTAATTTATATTTTAGGAATATTTTTTTAGATATTAATATATTAATTTATATTTTAAGAATATTTTTTTAGATATTTTTATATCTTTGTTAGAGGATATTTAAGATTTTATTATATTCTAATTTTGTGTATAAATAGCCCAGTGAGGTTGGTTAATGCAATTTATTGTAAATCATTATTCCTTATTTT